ATACTGGGGGGGAAACAGTGTAATAATTTCAAGGTTTAATGGCATGTATACACTGTAAAAAATTTACTGTAAAATTTACAGCAACTTACTGGCAATTTTGGTTGCCAGTAAGCCTGTAAATTTTACAAGATTACCGTAAATCATAAACTACAATTAACTGTAAAAAATACAGCACACCTGTAAAAGCAGAAAAACAAGAGCAGCTGTGAATTTACAGTTCTTTATTGTATTATTTACAGTATGATTATTTGATAATTTGAGGAAACCGATTATCTTAAATTGGTCAATTGACATTTCATATTTATACTGTGATTTTATTTCATTTGAGTCCACTAAAAAAAATAAAATTAATTTAAATGAGTTAACAAACCATCTCTTTAACTCAATCCTCTTGCAGATAATTGTTAGTTAACAACAGCATACACCTGAATTGACGAACTTAACAAAAAGATCATCAATATATCAGCAACTACAGTCACTGCCTTTAAATAAAGCAACACGCAGCATAACCTCAGTGTTTCTCTGCTCATCCTGAACTAAAGCACAGGTTCTACTCTTCAACACAATGGTGACACACAAAACGCAACAGAAACACTTTAAATCCCAACAGAACCTTAAACACTAACAGATCTCCACTATATCATTATGTGCAAAAACACATAAAATCACACTTCATTTCAGCATTTACTCTCCTGAGCAGTCATTCATATAAATATATAATCACATTTCACATTTATTGTCACATAAATACATGCACAGAAAATAACTTATTTTGTTTAGTAAATTTGACTTAGCTTGTATAGTAAACTACTGACTTCCAGCCAGAGCCATATATTTAATCAACTGAAAAGAAAAGAAGACAGTACATATCTAAAGATCTCAGCAGAGGAGGAGTAAATAACTCATTACCAGCATCACTTGTCAAGGTCTTTTTGAGAATTAACTGAGGTTTAGATGTTGATGATTTATGGTTTAGTTTGTAGTCACCATGATGGTGATAAGTGTTGGCTTTAGTTGGGCTGTTACCCTTGACATTGCAACATTAGTTTTTCTCTGGCTGCTTTACCTGTGTGTTTATAAGACACAACAGTTATAGCAATAAAGCCAAGAGAAAAGAAATCTGGCGACTCTGGCTGTGTATTGATGATGTCATCAAAAGAGCTTACAGATCAGTAGCACCTCATTTCACCCAGAGTGGAATATCTTCTCAGTCATATGGTTCTTTCCATATAATTGATTAATATAGCGATTTCCCATAAGACAATTTAACAGGATTATCATTTGAATGATTTTAAAAACAATATGGCATAGATAGTTTAAAAAACCATCATGTTATTAAGTCACACACAGACATCAACAATCAGCGTATGAATCTCAACAATGGTGACACTCAAATGAAACGCTTCATGTTGCAATGCATGCTGGGTATCACCTTAATACAGAACTCCCAGCATGCATTGCAGCATGCATAAATTATGCAGCTGAATTGTCTTATTTTCTTTTCTTCTTACCATGTGCTTTTATTTTTGTTGTTGTTTTTTGATGTGAGTTTTTAGTAGCTTGATTTGTGATGTTCAGAGTTGATCTATCTATATTATGTTTGTCACCATAGTTGAGGTTCATATGCTGATTCTTGATACACGTGTGTTCCAGTTGCTTGAAAGGTTTTGTGAATCTTATATATGTCAAACACAAATTACCTTATATAATCACAACTGAATATCATCATCATGCTGTAGAACCACACGACTATACCAATCAGTAAGGAGAAATCTATTATAACCTCAAATTCATAATCAAAAAATTATTCTGATCAAGATCAGCCACTAGATGTTGTCAAGGCTGATATCAATAGACATCCATCAACAACTGAACATCATTTTACTTGACTTTTATTGCCATAACAAATTTGTCTCATAAAGACATGGTTATAGTAGTCAAAGTAAAACTAATGTTAAACTTATCAAGCCCAACTAAAGTAAACACTAATCACGATCATGGTAACTTCAAATGAAATATTTTCAATAAATCATCAACATCTAACCCTCAGCTATTTCTCAGTAAGTCTGATTATGACAGAAATAAAGTGAGTCTGGTTAGTAATAAGTGAAGCTGGTAATGCTGTTTGTGGAGTTGTTTAATCCTCCTCTGCTGAGATCTTCACAGATTTAATGTCTTCTTTTCTCCTCAGTGGATTTCCTCTAAGGCTGTGGCTGAAGTCAGTTGTTTCCTGAAAAATCTCACAGTCAAATATACTAAACAAAAAAGTAAAATTATGTGAATTACTTTATGTGATTTTAGGTGTTTTTGCACATAATGATATAGTGGAGATCTGTTAGTGTTTAATCTGTTGGGATTTAAAGTGTTTCTGTTGAGTTTTGTGTGTCACCATTGTGTTGAAGAGTAGAGCCTGTGCTTCAGTTCAGGAGGAGCAGAGAAACACTGAGGTTAAGCTGAAAGTTGCTTTATTTAAAGGCAGTGACTGTGTATTTGCTGATGCATTAAAGTTATTCAACTCATTCATGTGTGCTGTTGTTATCTAGTAGGATTTAGTTAAATGTATGTTTCTAGTTAACTCATAAAGTCTTTTTCTTAGTAGACTCAAATGAAATTAGCTCATGGTATAACTATTTAATGGCAAATTTCCTCAAATGAAATGAGATGTCTCAGGTTTTAATTCAATGCATTATTAATAACAGTAACATACTGTAAATAATACAGTAAAGAACTGTAAATTCACAGCTGGTCTTGTTTTGCTGTTTTTACAGGTGTGCTGTATTTTTTACAGTATAATTGTAGTTTATGATTTACAGTACTCTTGTAAAATGTACAGGCTTACTGGCAACCAAAATTGCCAGTAAGTTGCTGTAATTTTTACAGCAATTTGTTACAGTGTAGCTAAGGACTGAATACCTGCGTTTGACAAAAAACAGATCTAGATTTGTTGTTTGTATCAAGTGCAGCAAATCAAAAACCCTCGGAGAGCAAGAGCTTATCTAGAACAGAGAACAGACAACCACAACAACCATATCCTGTACAGAAAGATACAGAAAGAGAAAACTGATACGAGGACAACATGTGCCTGACAAGACATCAGCTGAGTGAACCTGATGACACAGATTTACATTCAAGGAATATGAAAGACGTTCAATTTTGTGACAGGAACATTATGGGAAAATTCAGGAAGATATTGACAGAAATCTAACTCAGACTGGATGAATTAAGGCAAGATTTCCCGGCGGAGGATCTCTAATCGTTCCATCTTCACATGAACTACTTGTTTCGCAATCACACACTCTGGTTCGGTTAATTGAACCCCAAACACATCTGTGAGTATCGAGAGGGGAAGCACACTGTTATTCTGACTAACACGCTCATTCTCAGCCGTGTAAAACTATTACTGAACACGCTGAGCACAACAGGATATTTCCCAATCAGCCTCACGCCAGCCTCAGGCAGTGCTGGCCCGCTGCTGGCCATTCCTCAACACCCAGTTGCCATTCAGCGCACATGTGAATGGTTTTTGAGGAAAAACAAGTTTAACACCGGCTCAGACGAGCCGTTGGGGATGATTAGGTGCTGTTTGGCCCTGCAGGTGTCCGGGCAGCACTCCAATGTCCGTTCCGGATCCAAGGGGTGTGTGTGAGCGCAGGGTTTGGGATGGGATGAGGTGAACGTATAAGAAGCGCTGCCTCAGGGGAGAGAACCGAGACATCCGGACTAAAGGCATGAGGTTTGACTCAAACCGAAACCCTGGATCTGGATTTAGAGAATTCAGCGCCTGTAAAACTCATCCTAGATGAAAGTGTGAGACATGTTAAACCATAACTGTCATGTCCAGTAACATATCTTTTACAAGATTGCAGGGTTAGGTGAGCACATTAAGAGGGGAAAAAAGACATGCATGTGTGTAGAGGTGTAAAGTACTTCATTACTACACTTATTATTTTGATCAGTTTGTACTTGCAAGTCAAGACTAACAGCCTTATGATTTATTTTTGATTTAATATTTAACAAAATCACTTGGTTGCATCGGATTAATTTTGTGGACGACAGGGTGTGAATGGATCACAAAATACATTTAGTGAATGAAATATTCATTTTGTGAATCTGATTTCATGCATTAAGTTGTACGTAATGAAATGTACCACATTTTTCTTGCACAAAATGAGATACCCCTTAAAAATTATATAAACTTGCAATTCAGAGGAAAAAGTAAGAATTGCGAAATGTAAACTAGGAATTACAAGAAATAAAGTGATTGTGTGTTATAAACTCACAATTATGAAAGTCCAAATTGCGAGATATCAACATACAATTCTTGGAAAAACCGTCACAATTGTGAGGTTAACTTAAAATTGCAAGATTTAAAATTGGAATTGAGAGAAATAAAGTCAGAATTGTGAGATAAATGGATTCTCCTTTTTTTCGTGGCAGAAACAGGCTTTCATACAAAAGTGTTAAAATGTCAGAGAAAAACAAACTAAATATAAGTGTATAATAAATATTTTCCATATAATATTGTGGTTTTTGTCTGATGATCATATAAAAGCCAATTATTTAATTTTTATATTCACGAACATAACGTTAAGTATAAGTCAGTTAGATATGTTTTTGGTTAAATACATAAATGTATAATTTGTCAGTATAAACCCTTGTGCGTGTGTCTATGTGTGTGTGTGTGGTAGAGGAACTGGTGATTACCATTAAGTAATTAGCCTTAAGTGTGTTGTTGACCTCTGCATTTAACAAATAGCACATTATTATTGTGCCAAGCATCTGGATATGGAAGATTCCACCATTCACAGAGTAAATGGAAACAAGCCTCTACAGTCTCAGTCAGTGAAGCATCTCTCTCCATTCACAAGAGTAGCACATAAACAAGTCCTCCGAATGTTTACTTTCTGTCTTACTCTGCCTTTGCCTGCTTGTCACATCTGTCAGTTTTAAGATAGTGTTTTGTTATTGACACTGGGTTTGTCCTGTGCTTGAATTTACAGAGACTTTGGAGCATGGATCAAATAAATTTGACAGGTGCGTATGACTGGAACTGACATGCACATAAAAAATAAATAAAAAAAAATCAATAAGTGCCCTTAACATTATTTTAAGGTGTGTTCACGCCATGTCGTAATTAAGAGATTCACCTCTTCGCCGAGCTCCTACTTGTACCACCTGACCGCTGCAGATTCATGTAGGTGTTGATAGTGTTGGCATAAAAACGCATAATTCCCAGTCTGAGGATGTGAACAGCTCGGAGTCGAATGTCACGTGTTGCCATCACGAAATTACGGTGCTGTAATTACGACATGGCATGAACACAGCATTAGTCAAGTGTGTCTAAACTTTTAAACTTTGGCTGTAAATGAATCATTCTTACATACTAGTGAGCATCTTTCAATAACAGGTTTTTTTATATATACGTTAACAGAAGCATGCAGAAGGAGAAGGGACAGAGGAAAGACGAGACATACTGGAGGGAAATCAACGCGGCCATGGCCCTAACTAACCTGGCTCAGCCCAAGGACACGGCCACCGCCACCACCACCAGCTGCATCATCCAGAAATCCTCACACATAGCTGAAATCAAGACTGTTAAAGTGCCTATCCTGCACAAATACTAATGCGCACACACACACATACGCAGAAGATCCCGCTCTTCTACCTTTGGAATTAACTTGTTGTTTTGAATATTGTTTATTACTTTGTTGTACTGATACAGAATGAATTTTTTTTGGTACGTTTGTTTTTATTGTTATGAGTACGAGAAAAGTGCCCTGAAATGCAGCACTTGTTCAGTTCACCGATTTGTGCATTTCCTTTGGGTCGCACAAACTTTTTTGATAAGTGTTGATGAATAGTCAGTACGACAGTATTTCTGAACGAGACACTTTTGCAATGTTAACTTATTTTGATATGAATCAGAAATTTGTATTGTATCGCACCAAAGTGCCTTCATGCATCTCAAAGGAGAGATTAGTGAGAATGTACAGTTCATGTCCTCTCTGAATGAAATAAAAGGTTGAACGGTGAAATGACAGGAGGAGTGTGAAGCGCACTCTTCTCTCTGCTTCTCACAGCCGACAAGAGCTGCTGACCTTAAAATGAAATCAGCACAAGTCACAAAGACATGCACATGAACCTAAGGCCATTTCTGCATGTTTTGTCTTAATATCTCATGTGGCTGTGACTACGACATTGTTTTGTCTCTAAAATTGAAAACTTCAACTGTCACCTGCCAACAATAGCCGTGAGTCGAGAGATAAGTTCAGTCAGCCTACATCAAACTTGAGATCTTCCTTACGGCCTCTGCTTCCTCTCATAAACTCAGTTATGCACATTTCTCAGACACACAATGAGAAAGAGAGAGCCAGACTTCAAGGTTTCATCTGTATCTGTTTGAGACGAGGACTGTGACCCAAAGGGATATTTATGAATCCATTATCAGTGCTAAACCGAACGTGTTGCCTTCTCAAGTTTCTGCTCAGAACAAGGTACTTCAGTGGAAGCAGTGAACGATTTGGCCAGTCGTGTTTTACCCCCGTTCTCTCTCAGCTGGTTAGAATTACTCTCAAATCGCTGTTTACAAGAAGTACGAGAGCCACACAAACCATAGCAGTATTACCACATCTCTGATTCAGAGAACGTTCAATCTTTTTTTTTGCAATCTCCATGTTTGTCCTGCGGTTTTTACTCTTTTTGTTAGTGTTTTTGCCTTTGGTGAAACCAAGTTGTGTTAGCCTTGTATTGACTGAATGGAAAGAAACTGCAAATGTTATTTACATTAGAGTTATGGATGCCAAGTACACAATTTAGAGAATTAAAACGCCACTTTTGAAGTGAGCGCAGTAACAGTTGCTTATGTTGTTTCTCTGTTTTTTTTTTGTTTTTTTTGAGGAAAGTCTCCACCTGCTTGTGGTGAGACAGGCCAAAGAAACTTATTCAAAAAGCTGCATGCACTTATCTGACTACCACCCCTAATAATATTCACAAACACCCACTGAGACTATAATTCATACATACCATGTCCTGGTTTCCTGCTCTACAGAGTAGTGTAGCATATTTTTAGTACATTTTCGAGCAAAATGGGAAAATGTATTACCTGATCTGCTTTTGAAATCTAATTTTCCTTTCATTTTTTCCTCTAATCCATTCAAATCACACGTGAATCTCTTTTGGCCTTTGCAGTGAATAAAGAGAAGAGAAAGCATCAACCTGAGTTTTACCAATTCAGTTTTTTTTTCTTGCACACTGCTCAAAAGGATGCTGACAGACAAAAAGTTATTTTGTGCACACTTTAGAACATTTGAAATGATTAAAGACTGTAAAAAAACTTGTAATAATAGTCTGATTTTTTATTGTTAAGTTATATTCTTTCTTTTTTTATTATTATTTTAGAGACTGGATGTTTGTCCAATGAAGGAATGCATAATATCTCATTTATTCTCTGATTTTCAGTTTTACGCCAGGAACCTTGTTTACTTCAACGGAACATTAAATAAAAAATGTTTTGATGATATGATGTTGCTTGGCGTTTCATCATTAAAGTTTGTAGTTCTGCACAACCCTCTAAAATCTTTCCTGATCAAAGATTTAATTGCTAACATTTAAACACAGGCTATCCATTTGCATTTTAACTTCAGTTACTTTATGAATAAATATGAGTTTTGCTTGAGTTTAAAATGAATCAATTCCAAACAGAAATGTTTTAGGGCCAACTTACGATGAATAATTCACACAGCATTGAGGCAGACAAATGAAATTTCACTAATTTGTCTCTGCGGTTTGACCTGAGTTCAGATGACAAGCTTCTCTTTTCTTTTTTAGCCTCTGCATCTTTTTGAAAGCTGTCCTGTTAACTTTGCCAGCGGCAGAGACCTTGTTTGCCTTCACGCTGGTTTCAGCCCAGTAAATACAAAGACACCGCACAGCACAAACAGAGCTGGAAATGGATGATGAGAATGGAGTTCTCTGTGATCTTGTCTTTCCTTAAGGGTTTAATCCTGAACAAATGTTGGGAATGGCCACATTGTGCTCAGTGTGGTATTGACTGTGTACAGCACAGAGATGCATGAAGCTGCGCATTTAGCAAAACAAATCGTAAGTTTAGCCTCTGAACCAAACTGAAGCATTAATGTGCATTTCATTTACATATTCGAGAGTTGATCCATGAACCCTGACAACAGCATTAGAAAGCCTATTTCCTGCATTTGCTCAGCGTCTATCCAAATATACTCACAAACACATATGCAGTGATCCCAAAACCTATTTGGACACTTAAGTCAACAAAAAGTAGGAATGTCATTGCTTTAGATACAAATGATCAAAACCAAGTGTCATCTGCAATGACTTTCTCAAGCAGCTGTTTTCATGTTCATTTTTAAAGGATGCATGAAGTCTATCTGTAGTATAAAATTTGTTTTATAAACTGAAACCTTATAATCTTTTTGCAGGATATTTTGCATTAAAAGAAAATGCCATTTAGCTCAATATTTTGTTTTATATGGTACATAGTACAATGCAGACATTCATGCATCTTAATACAAAGTGTGAATTTAGTGTTCGAATTCTTTTTGTGGCCGCACAGTGCCCACATTAATTCTATCCCGGCTGCCAATGAACAGTTTGAAAAGACTTACAAAATAACATCAACAGAAGAGAAAGAATATCAAAACAATGAATGAAACATGAATAAAAACCAACACACAGCCACCAAGATTTCCTGACTCTTCCTTATCTCGATCATCTACTCCTCATCTTTCTCCAGTATCCCTCTCACATGTTTATTGGTAGCATGCATCTTGACCTGGCCATGCCAGTAATGCAGAATAGAGGGAGGGAGAGAGAGAGAGAGAGAGAGAGAGAGAGAGAGAGAGAGAGAGAGAGAGAGAGAGAGAGAGAGAGAGAGAGAGAGAGAGAGAGAGAGAGAGAGAGAGAGAGAGAGAGAGAGAGAGAGAGAGAGAGAGAGAGATTTATGTGCAGCTTTTAATGTTTGATACACAAACAAGGATATAAAACGTTACTGAAGTATTGTTACAATATATAGTATTAAAATATAATGGGATGCTGATGGACAAAAAAAAAATGAGGGAGAATACTTTCAGATCATAAAATCATCTCATGAAGGTGATAATTTGTATGTCTGTGTTTTAAATTTTGTTTGTTTGTTTCGTCTTTAACATCAACCTGCCAAGGGACTACTGATGAAAATTAGTCAATTTGGCTCAATCGGGCACATTTTGTTTATGTATTATTAATGTGTAGTGTCCCTCATTAAATAAACAAATAATAATTAAAAAACAACAACATAATAATATTCAGAGCTAAAATGAGCATTAATCAAGTCCCCTAGTCTCTCTTCAGTTCTCTCTCTCCTCTCTTCTCCTGTTTCTCTCTAAGCAGACTGGCAAAGAGCAGCAGTCTGAGCAGAAATTTCCATCAGCCATTTGTTGAAATGTTTGAGCAGGTTTTGTGGATCTCACCCATTATCTAGCTGAACAGGTTGGGATGCTGGGCTGGCCAGCCGTGTGACACACTCCAGACATCTCTCCACCCTTCTCATCAGACACAGGGTCCAAGATACTGTCAAAAACTACACACACACAACCAGAGCACAAAGAATTTCCAAAATCATCTGAACAGGGAAAAGGGTTTCAGTCAGATGAAGAAATTTGACCCATGTCCCATATTGGAATAATTAGTTACCTTGCCTAAATGGTCTGTTGGTTCATTAATTTTCAATTGCCTGTATGGACATGTGCTGGATACATTATAGTCCAGAACAGAGCCCTGATTAGCCACTGGGTCAGATACTATTTGAACCCCATAACGATTATAAATGTATTAGGTTTATGTGACATTACATTTATTACATGTTTTGTTATGTTTATTACATACAACAATGAAAATAGTATAATGTAACAAATCATTTCTACTGTATTTCATTAATTGGTGTTATTTTGGTGAACTTTCTATTAATCAAAGAATTCTGAAAAATATTTATATATCACGGTTTCCACAAAAATATTAAGCAGCACAACTGTTTTCAACATTGATAATAAGAAGAAATGTTTCTTGAGCAGCAAAATAGCATATTAATGATTTCTGAAGGATCATGTGACACTGAAGACTGGCATAATGGCTGCTGAAAATTCAGGAATACATCACAGGAATAAATAACATTAAAAAAAAGTTATTTTAAATTGCAATAACATTTACATTTAACCATTTAGACAGTTTTATCCAAAGTGACTTACAAATGAGGAGAACAGTAGAGTGCGCCACTGCGCCTATTTATGCGCCCATGGGCTACTGGTCTGAAAACGAGGTGTATTCAGGCGCATTGTTGGCGCGTTGCTATTTTGAGGCAACTGAAATAGACTGTGCCATTGACCAACAAAAACCTGGTCTAAAGTCAATTGCGCAATATTTTTATTTATTCATTTAAAGAGCTTGTTAGTAATGTGCGCCTATAGGGCGGGTGCACAACGCACGTACACTCTGCTTATTACACACACAGGGACGCGCAGCAGCACTCAAACTAACCAAATATTTGCTTGCTTTAACCTCGCGCACGAGGAGATCCGTTTCCTCTCTGGAGACGCGTTCAGTCTTTCCGCTTGCAAATTCCGTCATGTAAATAGCAATCCGCCAAGGCGCGAGACTCTGGTTGGTTTATTTCACGTTACACCCAAAACACACCCATTAATCATTAAGAGAATAGGCGCCGACCATTTTTCCCGTCGTTAAACTAGCAAAAGTGGATTTGGACACGCCCTAAGTGCAATTGTGCCCTGCGCTTTAGACCATGCGCTTTGAACTTGTTGGGCCCTATTTCAACCATCTAAGTCCAATGCATTATGTTTCCAAATGGATTTAGAAAATCTTATTTGTTTTCATTTCAGAGCAGAAGGTGCTAGTTGGCATTTTCCTGTAGTTTTTGTTAATCTTATTTTATTATTACACTTTACTCTTCAGAGCAGCACGGGGCAAGCGTGTTTCTGTAGCTGTACTTCAGTGCGCTAACCTGAGGTGCTTAAAACATTTCCTGTCTTTAATTCAGAGAACCACCAAGAAACCACCAGAAACATCAACAGAGAAAATCAGTGGTTTTAAAGGCGTTATTAAAACACAAATGCACAATATGCTGCTTTGTGTAGCGCTCTGGTAAGACATATAACAGAGGTGTTTTACGGAAAAGAGATTAATCAAAGACAATGCTGGAATTTCCACTCGCACTGAATGTGTTTTGCCCCAAAAAAGGAGAAGATTATGACTTTAAAACTGAGCCATGTCATAATAAAAATATTTTCTTTGTTAAAAGAATTAACAGAAAAAAAAACAGACAACCAATCTTTTTTTCAGTTCCTGAAAATTATTTATTTATTTATTGAGATTAAATTCTGAGAAAAAAAAATATAAAAAAAAGGTTGTCCTTGCAATTCAAGTGATCAAATATTGATTTTTATCTATTAGTAACGTCAGCATGGCATGAAAACTCCATGGCCTCTAGGAAAATGTTCATACCTTTATTTACATGGGAGATACAGATACAAACTCTAAAATAGAAAATAAATACTTTGTAAACTTTAAATTGTCCTAATGTTGGAAAATAGTAACACCTTTTTTTGGTATATTTTTATTTATTTATAATATATTTTTAGATATTAGTTTCCTGCTAAATTGAGTTTATTAACTAAATTAATTATAAAATATTATTATTATTAATAATAATGATAATAATAAGTAGTAGTAGCAGTAGTAGTATTTATTAATGATAATGCTAAATGTTATCCAGTATAAAGGAATATTTCTGGCTGTCAGTGAAGGGCTACTTGAGCCTTA